GCGTGGATTCGATCTTACGACTGCTTGGTCTTCTGACCCTGCAGCACAGGCTTCTGCGGTTTATGTAAGGCATATGTAAGGCATATGTAAGGTTTATGTAAAGGCATATCTTATATATTAAAAAAGGGAATTAAACCGAAATAAGGGATCATTAATCAGGGCAAAGGCATAACATGGTGGTTTTTGAGGTAAATTGAAGCCTTAAAATTAAGGATGGGGCAAAACAAATAGTACTTAATGAATATACATTAGATATGATATTGATATAGACATGATAGAAAATATGGAGATAGAAATGGCTAAACAATTATATAAAGAAAATCTGTATAAAATACTTTAGATAACATCTATAATGTGTTAGGAACCTACTCAGTTATTATTATTATTAAATACAAAGCTTGGCGGTTAAATCACCTCAAAATTATATAGATTTGGAACCGGAATTACTTTGATTAGGTATGTTATTAGAGGATTTTGAGAATATTGTATACTATGAGGGCAATACTAAGATAGTAGCCAATGTTGTATACTAAAATATACACATGAACAGTTTAAATGTTTAAAAAATGTGTAGATTTTGAAAAGACAACTAGGAAGACACCAAGACGCAAAAAAAACCCACCAAATAATTATAAGCAACACATGTACCACGATCTTTAACAAGCACGAATTGAATGTAGATAGATTGAAAAACTAATATAATTTTAAAAAAAGAAAGAAAGAAAAAACAGTTCTGGCTCAAAGAATTAATCAATACTGGCAGGTGAGATATTCTCTAATAGGAGAATTTTATAAACACACAGTTTTAATGCATAAACTTAATACTGTATATTGTGCCAGTGAGCAGTAAATACATAAGACTTGGCATATCGTGCCAATAAACAGTAAGTGCATAAACTTTGTGAATCATGCAAATGAGCAAGATATGCATAAACCTTCAGGTGCTGATGACTGCTGTACAGTACTTCCAAACAGCTTGCCTTTGCCATCTTAGCCCTAAAACAGCATCTCCGAACAATTTTAAGCCCCTAACAGCCTGTCTGCCATCTTAGCCCTTAAAGCAGCACCTAGCTTTGCCTCTAAAACAGCTTTTCAATGCTGTGCCTGCCACTGTCAGCTCCACTGGATGGGGGTCATCAATGACAGAGGTGGCAGGAGAAAAAGTGCAAGCTGCCAGTGCTCAAATGGTGCAACGTCACGCATCAAGGGCCTGTCATGTGACCTCCGCACACATAAAACTTCAAAGCCCCAGCAAGCAACAGGCTGCGCAGCCCCATGGGGGGGAACTCCCTGTCCATGTGGGCCCTTATGGACAGTGAGCCCTGGGCAAATACCCGCTCACTCTTTTTGAATAAAGCAGCCCTGCCATATAGTGGGTATAACCTTCACCAGGGTTACCAGTGATACATCCTTACACATAAAGATCTGATCTACGTCCTCCGTATTTCTATGACCTTCCAAATTTCTTCTGATTTCTTGATTGCAGTCTCCATTTGGATTGGTGATTGAAATGAAGATATTGAAGATGTATTCGCGAAGGCAAGTTATTGAAGACTTTACCCAGCTTTGGTTTCATCAGTATTAATTTGTGTAACTTCTAAATGCTTGTCTTTGTCTTTTTGATGTTCAAATACAATCTTTTGCACCTTTGTCTTTAACAATCAACTGTTCTTTCAAGATGTTGCTACTCTGCTGGTAACATGGTCTCATCTACATCTTAAATAATTGATGTTTCTTTTGCCAGCTTTCACTCCTCCTTAACTCAGTGTAATCTAGTGTTCCCATATGGTATGTACCATAAATTGAAAAGATATGGAGATAAAATGTCCCCTGCCAATGGGAAACCATTTTATTTCACTATATTCTGTCCTAAAAATAGCCTCTTGTCCAACCCCCCCCCCCAAAAAAAAACCCCTGCTCCTTCTATACTGCCCCATAGTGGGGGCTACTCTCTGGGTGGTTTACAATCTAATTATGCAGGCTACACATCACCTCCCCTGCCCTGCAGGCTGGGTACTCAATTTACTGACCTCAGAAGGATGGAAGGCTGAGTAAACTTCAAGCCAGCTACCTGGGATTAAACCCCAGGTCGTGAGCACAGTTTTGGCTGCAGTACTGCAGTTTAACCATTGCACCATGAGGTATGCCAGACCTGAAGCTAGGGGGTTATGCCTGCTTCCTTGGGAGTGACAGACACTGAAATCAATGGTAGTTACTTTTGAGTAAGTACAACACCAGTCACAGGACTGGGCCATAAGTCAGGAAGCCAGGTCTTTATTTGGGGTCTCACACTTACACAGACTGTTAAGAATCTAATGGCTACACCACTGTAACTGGGGGTGGGGGGAAGTCTCACTCCAGCCTTTCCTCCTCCTATTCTTTCCTGTCCAAGAAGGTGCTGTTGCAGATCCCGAAGACAGCACTTGTTGCCCATCAGCACTTCACCATCCCACATCTGCTCCTCATCTGTGGGTTTATCACATTGACTTAATTGTTATTGTGACTGAGAAGCAAGAGATTTTGTGAAACAGAAACAAACTTAGCAGCATGTTGATTTGTTAGTCTATCAAGAACAAATACACCATGTAGAAGTCTGGTCCAGCTCCTGTTAGAAGCCAACTGTGTTGTGAACAGGAAGCTGTTGTCATACATTATTTTCAGCTCCCACATGGGCACCTGTGCACTAGGGTGTGTCAATGCTTGTCTCTTTAGAAGAATAACTTAAATAAGTTCATATGCTATATTTAGCCCATCTAACATGATTGATTGCATTACAACAGCCCAGACAACTATGAATAACTTAGGTACAGTATATGTCGTGTGAAAAAATTCCATAGAAAATTCTCTATCCCATATCTCTGAGTGGCTTAGCATAAAATTATGCCTGTGGACATTTATAGGGATTTATACCTAGGCAGTTCACATGTCTGATTCCACAACCTCACAACTGACTGCAAAAATGACTATGCACTGACCATACAATTGCATCCATGAAGCTGCTTTCTAGATTAGAATTTCATTTCGATGTAAATTTCACAGGGAACACATAATTCCATTGTTATAGCAGTTCCTATGGCTACCAGTCCACTTGTGGGTCCAAATGAAAGTGCTGGTTATGACCTTTGAATCCCTATATGGTTTGTGTCCAAGCTGTCTGAAGGACTGAATCTCCACTTCTGAGTCTTCTTGGTTCTTTTATTATTCATGTAAGCCGCCCTGAGTAGACTTTGTCTGGGGAGGGCAGGGTAAAAGTCTAACAAAAGTAAAAAAGTAAAGTAAGTTGAGTTCTTCAGAGGAGGCCCTTGTCTGTCCCACTCCTTTCATAGGCACTTCTGGTGGGAACACAGGAGAGGGGCTTCTCTGTGGCTGCTCCCAGATTTGGAATATCTTATTCAGGAGGCTAGGTTAGTCTCCTCTGTAATCAATGAGCTGTCAAGGCACAATGTTTACAGTATTCACTTTCAGCTGGATCAGTGAGAAATACATGTATTCACCTGTTTTGCTTACTTGTAGAAGTAATTCATCACTTCCTACATTCCACTATAATACTTTCCCCTATTTACTAAAATTAAGAGCTATGAGAAAGGACTCAGTCACTGTTTAGAATTAATTTTTTAATTAAACAGTTTTAATAAAAAGAAAATCTACAGTTTTGCAAAAGTACAGTGGTAACTTACTCAAGACAGCCCTGTGTATGCATATATAATGGGTTTCATTTCTGTGGCAGTATTGCTGGAGAAACAAAGCAGGACAGTCAAAAGAGTCTGGGTTTTGATACTTTCATTGGGGTTGCAACTGCTGAGGACGAGAAAGTTGAGGTGCTGAGGGGGAGGGACCCTTACTCGTACTTGGAGACACTACTGCATGAGACAAGGAGAAGAAACACTGTAATAGGAAGCAAAGGACTCAGGAATTCTCTTCTGCTCTGAACCTGAGAGTTTTAAGGCACTAGAGTGAGGATTCTGGAACAGAGGACTGGCAGCACTGCCGGTAGGTCTAGCAGAACAGAGATAACACAACATGGGGAAATCAGCACTCTACTTGGTTGAAAGTTGTGTATATTTTAACTTTTTTTGTAGTGTTGTCCAGTTTTACTTTGGGGAAGAGCACCTCATTTCGTTGCACCCACTTGTGAGCGCAATGACAAATAAATTTCTTATGTCTTATGTCTTATGTCAGCTGCTGCTTTTGTTTCTTAAAAAATCCTTTTAGCCATAAGATATAAAAGAGTTTGTAAAATGAGGTTAGTTCTTGTTCCCATCGATGAGCACCACTCCAGATAAACATAACAGAGCCTCATTCACCTGGTGAAGAAAGGAATACAGATACACATGTTTATGGCTAGCTCACAAACACTGTGCTGTGTTTTTTTTTAAATAGTCTCCCATTTCACAAATACAGTCTCCCATTTATTTGTAATTTTACATTTAGTTCTTCAATGCTGGAAGAATGTCAGGATATTATGCCATCAAATTATGTGAAAGCTATATTTCCTCCCACCCAAACTACTAACGTTCTCTCTCTCTCTCTCTGTGTGTATATACACATAAATACATATATGTGTATATATTTTGATGTGTATATATATGGGGGTAGAGAGAGTGAGTGAGTTATAGGCTATCAAGTTGGAACTGACTTATATCAACCCTATTAGGGCTTTCAAGTTACATGAGATATTTAAGGAGTGGTTTTATCAGTTCCACACACCCCAGTGAGTTTCCATGGCTGAGTGAGGATTTGAACCCAGTCCTCCTGAGTCCTAGTCACTCTCCACTACACCACACTGGGAAGGTCCTAGATGGCTGATGCACCCCATTAGCAAGGTGTGTTCCATTTTAATTTTCCACAGTGATCCTATGTAGCATCACTGAAGTACTGTGGACAGTTTTAGCCAGTGGGAACCTAGTGCAGTCATTACACAAGCCTGAGCCCATGATGGGGTGGTATCAGCCCACTTCAGCACCAGCAGAAACAATGAAAAGATGCCGTGCTCCTTGTAGAAGGCTTTGATCAACAAATAGTGCAATTCAAGCTCAGAGATACACTCCCTATAGTGGGTTCGGAATGGGTGGAAGTCTTCTGGGCTGGTACAACAGCCCCATGCTGATGTATCGGCACAACTGTTGTGCTGACCAGGATCAGTGTAACAGAAGAAAGGGGTAAAGAAGGAGAGGCATAAAGAAGCTGCTGAGCATCACACTAGATCAAAACCCATCTCAGCCCAGACTTACAGCCACTATGCTCACAAAAGGTTAGGCTGGTGTTAGGATATTCCTAAGTAATCTCTTGAGAGTCCCCTGGACTGCAAGGAGAACAAACCTATCCATTCTGATGGAAATCAACCCTGAGTGCTCACTGGAAGGACAGATCCTGAAGCTGAGGCTCCAATACTTTGGCCATCTCATGAAAAGAGAGGACTCTCTGGAAAAGACCCTGATGTTGGGAAAGTGTGAAGGCAGGAGGAGAAGGGGACAACAGAGGACGAGATGGCTAGACAGTGTCATAGAAGCGACCAACATGAATCTGACCAAACTCCAAGAGGCCGTGGAAGACAGGAGGGCCTGGTGTGCTCTGGTCCATGGGGTCACGAAGAGTCGGACAGGACTAAACGACAACAAAGTAATCTCCAACATCCTGCTGGGAGGGGTTTGGATTCAGCACAGACTCTGTTGTCTTGGTGTCATCTTACTCAGACCTCAGACCTCTTAGCTAACAGAAACTGCACCTTATTACATGAAGCACACAATCTGAGATGTGCTGCCTTAAATGAGAATGCTACTTTACCGCACTATTACAATCAAATAATTTTTAGCATAGTCTTCTCTTCTTAATGCAAGCTATCTTAGCCTGGGGCTAACCACTTACTTATCTTTTTTGGTTTCTTGAGCTATGTCATTATATATCTTTGAGCACAGATCCTCCTGTGATTGCATTCCATCCAAATAAACTGCAAGAGAAACAGTAGAATTTTAGATCATCTTAAGCAGAGCCAGAAATTCGGAATGGACTGTTTTATAATAAACAAGGGAATCTAATTTAATGGAAATATCCTGAAAAAAAAATTTCAAGATTATATACCATTCAAATGCCCCTTATAATTAATATCACATTTTTTTTTACACTGAGATTACTTTAAAACAACTCAAATAACACTGTAGAGCAGACTGGTCATTGAAAGTACAATCTTGTAATGGCTACTCAGGGGTGATGGAATGTTAGCAAAATCCTCTCTTTGTCTTCAGTTATTAGCTTCCCTAGTTGCTTCATATCAAGTTATTTTCTTTATCAATATAAATGCTGAAATATAATGGCAAAGACCACTGGAACTGCATAAATATCATAGCTTCTACCAACACATGTGATACCAGAACATTTGCCATACCAACGTCAGTCTCATTTTCTTCCACTTCTCTTTTGTGCTTCAGATACATGGGCCACACGTGTCCATCGAAGTACCCTGGTGGGTCTGGTGGGTCATAAACTCTATGGCTACACAAAAACACATACGCACATTTCTGTACTCACTCACATAATTGTTTTAAGCAGCATTTCTGTGAAGAATACTGAAAGCCTTGGAAAGAGTGATCGAGTACTTATAGAAAATAAGTCTGCCATGTTAAAAATTCTTATTACTATAATGATAATTACTACATGAATTAGTATGCATACTATCCTTTGCTCCAGGAGTTTAGACACAATTAAGAGACCCATTTCAAGATGACTAATACTAAGATCATGCCGCAACTCCCTTAAACAAACTTCCCTTAATCACGTTCTTGTTTTGTGTCCAAGTCTCTTCTCAACAGACATTTAGCAAAACATTATCCAGTGCTGTTCTTGTTTGACTGCTCCATCCAACACCTTTCATTGTCACCCAAAGCATGTTTACTGCTTGTGCTGATTGGAGACTATGGGGATTATAATTCAATATATCTAAAAACTGTCCAGCCAAGAAAGGCTGGCCTCCTTTCTTTAATAATTTGTCACACTAGATTAGTGATGGCGAACCTATGGCGCGCGCGTCACAGCTGGCCTGCAGTGCCCTTTCTACAGGCACGTGAGCCATAAGTCGCCAGATCGCTACTCCCCCCTGTAGCCAAACCTCAGGAGGTGGCTGCAGCCACGGTGCTGGCGCTTTGATAGGCAGCGGGCCAGGATCCAGAACAGCTGGAGCTGGCAGCGGATCCAGAATGGGGTCTCGAGGCACCTCCGTGCCTGGGATTCCCCTTTCCGCCACCACTTCCGCTTCTGCTGCCGCCACCACTCGTTCAGTTTTTCTTTTTCTTTTTTTTTAGTTTGAGTACTCGGGCCCAAAAAGGTTTGCTGCCACTGCTCTAAGCTTTAACAGTCTGACATCTGTGTAGATCTCCTTGGGATTTATCCCCACTAAACTTTTAAAAAGATCATAGATTTGGGAAGGAACCTCAAAAGTGATCTAGTTCAACACACTGCAAATGTAGGAAGTATACAATCCCAATGTTCCTGATAGGTAGCTATTTAGCATTTGCTTAAGAACCCCTAGTGGTTGTCCAGATTGTATAGTTTTTATCCAGTAGGTTACAAATCTTTTAAGCAAACAATTCTCCCCTTATGTTGTTGGGGCACTGGGGAAACTGTGAGCATAGCCCAAGAAGTAATACTTTATACTGTATTAAGTTTTAGGAGCACAGTACCTTCTCCTTCTTTTGCACTCTTCGTAAGGAATCGTTAGGAAATACTTTTTATTCCATATATCACTGAGAGGCCTGCAACAACAAAGCAGTACGTCACATGTGCCTGCTTGCTACATGCTATTTACTCTTGCTTCTTAAACTTGCTTACTTGTAGTTATACAGAAGAAAGCCTTCAACAATTAAGACACAAATATCTTCTGTTCCTTTTTGATCATCATGCACACCTTTGGGTGGTCTCATCAATGCAGCGTCTTCTGGTTTTGTCATCCAAGACCGTATGTTCATCACCATTTTCTCCATATAGAGGGCATCAAGAACTAGAAGACATATTGCGCCTTTAATGTTAAGATTAATGCCTAAAGGTTGCTTGTTTTTCAGTTAGGGGATACTCAGAATTAGTACTTGAGGTATATAATAAGCAGAAGGAGAGAATTAGAATTTCCTTTAAAACACAGCCATTTTCATTAACTGTTGGTAGTGACAGAAAAGAGACAGGGTGTGGGAACTCAGACTGAACACTGCATCAAGACAGGAAATAGCAATATGTGTTCAGTAACTAAACAATGGAGAGACAATGTATAGATCAAAAACTCATGACCTCCCTTTCCTCCAATGAATAGAAGTTGTCTAGATGGCTCCTCCCTACTAGGCAGAATGGTGAGAGGGACAGACTTGCCCAGATTTATCAGATGGCTTCACAGATCAGTAGAAACTAGAATCTGAAGTCCCCATGTCCCAATCCAAGATTTAAACCATGAGACTACAGTGACACATTACAATACAAATTTGCTAAAATTTGTGGTAAATGACAGAGTAAAGAATAAATAGTTTTCAACAGCAAGAGGGAAATGATGCCTTCCATTTGATAGAGGCAGCCTGCATACACCAAAACTTGCATAGTGTATTATATAGATTTGAAATGGAACATCAAGACCGCTATATCTTCAATGTACAGTGGTGCCTCGCATAACGAGTGCACCATTTAACGACTAATCCGCATAGCGATCTAATTTTTTAGATCGCTAATGCGATCGCATTGCAATGTTTTAATGGGTAAAATATCGCATTGCGATGATCAGTAAGCGTTTTGCTTACCAATCTTCAAATTGCGATGTTTTTTTAAACAGCTGATAGGCGGTTCCAAAATGGCCGCCGGGTGCCTAAAATGGCGGCCGCAAGTGTTTTCGCGCCCTGCCCTCACTTACTGAGGGTGTGAAAATGGCGGTGCTATGTAGGAACTTCGCTCAACGGTGAGTTTGGGAGCCATAGGACCGCATTAAACAAAGTTTAATGCGTTCCTATGGCTTTTTCGGTTCCGTTTAGCGATGTTTCTGCATAGCGACATTAATTCGGAACGGATTAATGTCGCTATGCGGGGCACCACTGTATCTTTAAAGCATGATTAATATGCTTGGAAAATATGCACAGTATCTATAACCATTTCTCAGCCTTACACTGCTGAGAAAAATGTTTACAAACAGGATGCTCAGTTATATTTATTTCTATAATAGCTATATAAAGGAAGAAGATCTATTTTTCGTGCACTTTGAATCAGTATTTGGTTCAAGACTGGGGTTATACAAAGTTTGATTATATTTCCCCAGTGCTGGCTTGACTGCATTGGTTTCCCATGCCTTTCTGAGCCAGATTCAAGGTGTTGGTACTAACATACAAAGCCCTTAAAGGTTTGAGACCCCATTATCTGCCAGAGAGCCTCCCAGAAACACATCAACAGAGCCCTCTGATCCACCCAGGGTAGTCTCCTAAGAGTGGCCACTCTAAGAGAGGCAAAGAAGGTGTTCACAAGGAACTGAGTGTTGGTAGTGGCACCACTTCTTTAAAACAGCCTTTCCATAGTGATCTGTCAGCCACTCCCCCAAGCCTTTAAGATATTGCTAAAAGCCAGTCTCTTTGAGAAAATCTTTAGATTCTCCTCCTGCATTAACTAGGAGCATAGATCACCCATTGGCCATCTATGTGTTTGTTATGGTTTGAGATTGTGTTGATTTTGGGTTCTGGGGATTTGATTTGATTAGGGATTGGCGTTATTGGAGGATTACCATATTTTTCCATGTACTGTATAAGACGATACTAGATTTAGATTTCTACATGGAAAAATGTGGTATTTACATTCTTGTCAACTGCTTTGAACTAAATTGGAAAGAAAGAAAGAAAGAAAGAAAGAAAGAAAGAAAGAAAGAAAGAAAGAAAGAAAGAACACTTTAATGGGAATCCTCTACAAATGCATCTGGTATGAAACACATTGATTAGATTCCCAAGATCACTCAACTGTCTCAACTTAACTTTAAGAAATTAAATAAAAATATCATCACCTTACTGATCAAATTCTTGAAATAAAATCCAATCATGCAATTAAAGTGGTCTCTTTGGAGTAGGTGCCTGATGTTTTAGAATCCAAACCCTGCACTGCAAGGCCAGTCTGCTCCAAAGCAATCCTGATTATGATACTTTCTCTGGTAAGCAGAGAATTTCCAATGCTTGATAGCAAGATTTAAATGTCAAATAACTTGCTGTTTAAGCAAACTAAAATGCCAAAGAGCAGAGTTCTTCAGTTTTAAATGCAAAAAAAAATGAGCTGTTCTTTGCTTCTCTGAAAGTTTATGTCTAAGTAGACATACACAGAATTGAGCTGTATTTTGTCTGTTTGCTGAGGAAATGTACAGATCAATAAATTGGACTATGTAGAAAAGATTGCTGCTGTTAGCAGCTCCAGGATCCAGGCTGGGGTAGAGAACAAACTGTCTTCAGCTGCTAAGCAAGGAAATCTATTCCTATTTCCCATTAGTCATTTAAAGAATATTTTAAATTCTGTAGTTTAAACTCTTGAATCTGTATTTTGCATATGAAAGTTATTGCATGGGAAGATTACTTCTAAGGAGACTTTATATTTGCTGGGGATTGTAGTTATCTAATATTATGACTAGTTCTCGTTTACATGCTTTAAACATCAAGTTTAATTTGAAACCTTTCTTCCCTCCCTTCCTTTTTTTTTTTGCAGCCCAATAGGTTGGAGTGCCTGGCTGTGGAGCCCAGGGTTCAAGTACTCACTGTGCCTCCTAGGAGATGGGTCAGCTGAGATCACCCAGAGTGTGTGTGGCTGATGGCATTACGTGCCCTGCCACCTGTATGGCCTTGGACAAGCTGTGTAGTGCCAGAGCACTGTCAGAAGGAGGGATTACCAAACCACTTCTGTGTACTTTATATCTAGAAAAACCTGGATAAGTCACCATAACTCAAAATTGGCTTGCTGGCACATAATTATTTTCTTTCATTTAAGCATCCAATCTACAAACCGTCATATTGAAGAAATCCATGGTCATCTACAGCCACTTCCGATACAGGCTAGGAAAAAAAACATGTTAACATTGTAGAAGGATGTATGAAGACAGAAGCAGCAGCAGCATAGTAAAGGGGGGGGATTTTTTTTCACATACATTACGTGCCCTGCCACCTGTATGGCCTTGGACAAGCTGTGTAGTGCCAGAGAACTGTCAGAAGGAGGGATTACCAAACCACTTCTGTGTACTTTATATCTAGAAAAACCTGGATAAGTCACCATAACTCAAAATTGGCTTGCTGGCACATAATTATTTTCTTTCATTTAAGCATCCAATCTACAAACCGTCATATTGAAGAAATCCATGGTCATCTACAGCCACTTCCGATACAGGCTAGGAAAAAAAACATGTTAACATTGTAGAAGGATGTATGAAGACAGAAGCAGCAGCAACATAGTAAAGGGGGGGAGAATTTTTTTTTCACATACATTACCAGAGACCATGCTATGTATTCTTCACTAACAAGTCTTCCTAGCATGGTCTCTGACTTCCTCTAATGGCTGGTTTTGGTAATACATGTGAAAATAGAGTTTTTTCTGGTTTTTTTTTTCTTTTAATATTTTTAACATTTTCAGACCCGTGGATAAGTGAAACCACGAGTTTGAGACCCCTGCTCTAATGGCTGGTTTTGGTAATACATGTGAAAATAGGGTTTTTTCTGTGTTTTTTTTTCTTTTAATATTTTTAACGTTTTCAGACCCGTGGATAAGTGAAAGCATGGATACATAATACCATGGATATCAGCGTCCTACTGTATTATTAAAAATTTAACAGCTGCCAAATTTATCTGGAGTCTACAAGGAACAAGATAGTAAAAATCACTGGTTTGGATATGTAGACAAACAATATAGGAAAACAAGAAGAGAATAATGAAATCTCAGCCCCAAGTCTTGAGATTACTGGAAAATATTGTTTTGTCTGGCGATTTAAAAGTTTGGTTTCATTTGAGGAAAGAGACAGTTGGACTGTATATACTCTCCCTGTTTATGCATTACTTCTTCTCCCCAGGTGCTGAGGGCAAAGATATTTCTAGAGCATTTTGTGGGCAGTTTTTCTAATCTGAGACCCCTTTTGACAGATTTTTTTTTCCACAGAAAGTTATTTAAAAATAAATACTTATGGCCACAACCCTGTTAGTTGTGCCTGATAGTGTAATATAATCTTAGCAGCAAATTGTACAAAGGAAGAAGTCAGGACAGACTTTTGATGTTGTGTGCCAGGTTATGTGATTCAGTGCATAATTGTAAATGCCAATACTAAGTTCTTTGTTGTTGTTATGTGCTATCAAGTTGCCCTTGAATTATAGGGACTCCATGAGTGAGCAATCTCCAGAATGTCCTCTCCTCAACAACCCTGCTCAGCTCTTGCAAACACAAGCCTGTGGGGTTCTTTAGCGAGCCAGTCCGTCTCATATTTGGTTTTCCTCTTTTCCTGCTACCTTCCACCTTTCTCAGTATTATCGGTTTTTCCAGAGAATCTTGCCTTTTCATGATGTGGCCAGAGTAGGACAGCCTCAGCTTCAACGTATTTGCCTCCAGAGATAGTTCAGGCTGGATTTGATCTAGGACCCACTATCTTTCTAGCAATCCAGGGTGTCCTCCAAGCTCTTGTCCAGCACCATACATCAAATGAATCAACTTTTTGTTCTTATAAGAACAAGTTAAGTTCTTAACTTGTATCTACAAAATTTGTGCTGATTCCATTGCGTCAGTGTAAAAATACAACTGGATTTTGGCTCATATTTTAAAATGCATCAACATCAATGGCAATGCACTGCAGAAGGCACTTTGTGAGGAGTTACTTTCAAAAAGTAACCTTCCAAGGAAACCCTGACAACCTGCTGGCTGTATAGGGTTCCAGATTTATATGGGAAGGCCAACTGGAGCACAACAGCTTCCGACCTTCACCTCCAACAGATGGAAGGGAACAGGGCAGGCAACGGAGATGTGATGATAAGAAAATATGACCAATTTTCTCCCCTTTAGATAATCCTAGTTGTGCAAAAGCCCAAACATCTACACTGGATTAGACTTCTGAATTGAACTAAAGGATTTCAGTTTATGATGTAATGTTTCTTAAACCTGTTACCTTGAAAAAATCATCTTGAGAAATTATAGTGCAGTTTGGAAGAAGCTTCTTAAGTTTTTTCGCCAGAGTTGTTTTCCCTCCATTTGTTACACTACATTGGAGATTTGAAGAATGTTACAAATAGCAGATTATACATTACATAACAACATCCAAACCATTCTGATAATCAGGACGAACAACATTTTAATTTATCTGAGGCATTTTTACCCCCAGCCTTTGGCCAAAAAAAAAGATTATCCACATTGTAGCCTAGCAAGTACAGTTTATCTAGATGTTTAAAATTCATTCAGATAACATTCACTATTGCATCCAGAACCATATTTTACTATATGAGCCTGAAGTCCTTCTTTTTCCATCTTTTCTGTGTTAAATTCCCAACCATTACTCAGTTGTTGCTGGGGGACAAAATATTTCTCTCAGGAATGCCTGAGTCAGTCTGTTGCCAAAGCTGATGCTGGCTGGCCAGGGATGTTTGGAATTACAGCCAAGCACATCTGGAAGATACCATCTTGGGAAGGCTACTGTACAGTATCGGATAAATTTAGGATGGTATCACTTTAGCTTTAAAAACAAACCACTATATACAGATGGCAGAAAGGCCAATTTATTGTCAAATAAGGAAATGGATGAGATATGCAAGATACCAAGTGCTCCGCGAACATAATACTAAACAGTAAGCTGTGGTTTCTGCACTGTCTGGAATGGTGGGTTGGGCAGCAGCAACAGGTGCTGAGTAAGCAAAACAAAAGGGAAGATGAAAAATATGTCATGCATATGCCAAATCCAGCCAGTAGATCCACCATTCTAAAGGAATGGTGGATCTACTGCTGACTGCATGCAGTGCACCAAAACCTATTCCAGAACCCTCAAAGCCTTTCCATCAAAACCAAATAAAAAAGAATGCCAAATTCTGCATGTAGAATTTGATGGAGTGACAATTCTGCAAGATGAAAGGCTGGCTGAACCTCATGTTGCCTAAATACCTCCACTGCCCCCACCTTCCAATTGGAACACGAGAACCTTGGAGGGCTAATCCGAGAGATTGAAAACTAGCCCTCACACCTCCAGAGTTTGCCCACCCCAGATTTAAGCAAAGCAGGTTATTAATTAACAACCAGTTTGTGCTTACCCTCCAAGTCCAATGACCAAAGTTTTCATGCTTCTTCAGCAACCTAAATATTAAATTGAGAGGGTCATTTATTCTCAACCTACACCATATTTTCTGTGAGCCACTTCTGCTGGACTCATGGAAACTCACAAAAAGTGGAATTTCAGATAAGTTTCTAGACATAGCTTCAAGGACTGTAAGTATGAACCATCAAAGGAAATTCACATCTGTTGTGGTTGAGTCACAGTTGTTCCTATTTTCTCTAGCCTTTCAATGAATGTACACATTAATGAAATACATTACGTCTGTGTGCAACAGACAGTACAAACTGGCACTTTGTTTGAGGAGAGGAAGCAAGGGATGGATAAAAAGCTGATTAGATTTCCCATTCTCAAAAAGCTTCAGCTGTCTGCTCGCCTAAACGTATTCCCCACTAAAGTCAACACCTTGCTTCCAAGTAAAGATAAAGGGCTACAATCCCGATATGTGTAAGATCAGCCAGCTGGTTCTTTTATGAGAGCTGGTTGATCTAAATCAGTGAAAGAGGTTATGCATCACCCAATCCATGTTTTTGAAGCGAGACCAAAGAAAAGTTTGCAGTCAGCTAGGGAAGATACGAGTATTATAGAACTGCATACTGTATACCTACAGCACACACAAGACTCTCTTGACAAAGGGCTGGACACACAACAGCTTTCACCACACTCAGTGCAGGAAAGAACCCTCAACCAAGAATCCTGTGGCACCCGAAAAGCTTACATCTTTTATTACAGCAGGCACTTTCGTGTATTAAACCGGCACACTCCCCCCCCCCGGCCATCCACCCACATGGGAAATTCAAGGGGTGTGGGGGTTTTCCCTGTATCCCTTCCTCCTCATTTTATTCACCCTCCATTTCAGTCTCTCCTTTCTTTCTCTCTCCACTCTCTCCTTTTCTTCTCCACTCTTTAGCTTCTGCCTCTCCCCAATAAGATGGTCTCGGGTCGGTGGGTGGGGGGAATCTCCTTTCTTTTCCTATAGCCTGCCTCCTCCTTAGGCACTCTCAGCCTCTCCCATGTTCCAGTCCAGGGATCCTCCATCCAGACCCACTCCCAACCTGGCGGCAACAGTTCCTCTCTCCTCGTTATATCCGCTGTCCCCGCCTCTATCTCCACCCTCTTCTTCCGTTCTGTTCCCAACGTTTTTTTCCCTGAGTCCCTTCAACGTTTAGCTTTTGTATTCTTCCTTCCATTTCCTTCGTTTCTATCCCTCGCTGCTCTGTTCTCTTGGGCGTCAAGGCAGGCAGGGTTTGTACCTCCTTCACTACTGTACGGAGGGATGGCACTCCGGTGAGAGGGACACCACTCTCACCCCCTGTCTCACAGTTGGGCATTCAATTCCTCACTGTGCCCCTTGCTGACACTGAAGCAACCCGCGACCACGGTCCCTCCGCCTCTCCTTCGGCCACCTACCTTCTTCTTGCAGGCAGCGCGCGTGAAGGCACGGCCGCGATCCTCAAGCAGGCTCATCGACGAGGAAGCCCCGCCCCCTCCGCCTTGTCATCCCGGGATAGGGTGTATTTTTTTCTCCAGAAAGGCCGCTCGCCCCCCGCCCCACGGGGGAAAAAGGACAGCGGCAGATTGCGCGTGCTCTATGCAAATAAGGTAGGCGGGTCACATCCTTAAACTGTATCCCCATAGGTCAAGACGCGCCGTCCGGCCACCTAGGCCGAGGGAGGCGCGCGCGGTGGGGCTGGCTGGTGGCTGCCTCCGCTCCTTTCCACGCGAGGGCGGTTTGGCTCAGTCAGCCGAGCGAGCGAGCGAGCGCCCGCTGCTTTTGACTCTCGTGCAGCTCCTCCTCTCCGCGCTTCTCTGCCTGCGTTGCCCCCCTAACAGCCTCTAGAGGGCGCAGCGGTAGGCGCTCTAGCTCGCCTCCGCGGCCGCGGTTCCCACTTCCTCCTCCTCCTCCTCCTCGTTGCCCAAGCGCCTTGTGTGCAGCGGCTCCTTCCAAGACGGCGGTCGGTCCTGGGACGCTCTCCTCCGCTTCAACTGTCAAAGAGCCCGTGGCTCTTCTTGATCCGCGCCGCCTCCTCCCCGAGGAAGGCCTGAGCGTGAAGGGAGGAAGGGACCGATCGATCGATCCACTCGCCGGGCGCTCGACCCGCGGCCAGGAGAGGTTGGCTCGCAACTTGTGCGCAGACATGTCGAAGCCGCCGCCTAAACCAGCCAAACCAGGTAAGGGAGGTGGCCGCGTCCTGATCCTCCTCCTCCTCCCCCCCCTTCCTTGGTCTTCCGCGGTTCCCTTTCCCCAGCAGAAGGTGGACTTGTGGGGAGGGGTGCGAGTGGGTTGGAAAGTGGGAGGCAGGCGATGAGCTTGCACGGCTGGCTGGGGGACACTCGGGGGGGAGGTGTCCGCCTTGACACGTGGCTCACAGTCTTCCTAGTTTAAAAGCAAAAGGGGGAAACCGAGCGCTGCCAGTGCCGGGCATGAGTCCGCCCACCCGCAGCCGCGGAGCCGATGGACGCTGGGTCGCGACGGGCAAGCCAGGGAGGAGGCGATCCCCCTTCGCCGGATACCTAAACCAAAGAGCTATCCAGCCAGCTATTAGACTAAATAGACTAAATAGAAATGGATTCCCAAAGTTTGCCCCTTGTGTCAACAATGCTATGGAAGCTCGCATTAGAATACAGCATTTAGTCTTTGAAGTCATGCAAGCTTTTGGTCTCTTCTTCTCCCTCTTGCAGGGGACAGGAGACGGAGAGGGAGGGCGGCGGTCGTTGGGGAGCGACGCGATCTCCCTCGATCCCAGGGTGTGGCTCGGTGCGAGGCTGTCACTGTCAAAAAACTCAAGGCGGGGCGGAGGAGAGAGAAAGCGCCCGGCGCCGCTGGCCTGCCTTGGTCG